ATGCATTATTTACAATGCATTTAACTATTTTCCCTAATATAAATCTGTTGATGAACTACTTATGTGGCACATAAACAGGACTTATATTTAAACGTCAGATGTAGTGCTTTAGAAGATATATTAAAATTATTAGAGTCTGACTTACATTTTTAATAGTAATACAAAATATAAAGTACCACAGCTTGCTCAGAAGAAACGGGATTTCTGAAATCTACCAGAATAGCTTTCTAAAAGCCACTATCTTATGGTCTTTAGTGGGCTAAAATACTTATAATGATGGATTGGAAAAATGGATGTTTGAGTGCATAAGGTTCACAAGTTTAAGAAAGAACTGGTAACTCCTAGCTATAGATTGTCTGTTTCAGAGGATGAGAATGAATGTGTCCTCATCCTCATTTTAAAAGTCAACGCAGATATCCCTACTATGGAATAGTTTATTACATCACCACCTATAGAGATGAACAACACTAGATGTTTCCAAGTCTCTAAGAGGCCAAGAAGTATTAACCCAAGGTCAGATTCAGGTAATTGATCGTGACTCATGAATTTCAGAGATCCCCAATGGTTATTTTTAAATTTTCAGCAGTTACGTCTTTTTCTCTGGGGAGAGGGTATTTAAAGCTCCTCACGCAGCCATTCTGTAACTACCTCTACCCTCCTGCCCCCTGCCCCGAAAACAGTTTACAGAAATAGGTGTCCGGACCGTGGGCTGTAGTTCACCAACTCCTGCTCTAGCCTAATTTTGTCTCGTTACTAGAGCATGGACATTCTGTGGATGCTGGTGAAGCTTTTCTGGGGTTTCTCTCCAATGCCTTTCAAAGCTTTTTCCTACACAGACATAGAGTACTGTTTAGCCAAAAATTTAAGATAATTCCTCCAGACATCTGGAGTTCTTGTGCAGCTTCCTCCTCTCTGGTGGTCTTTCCTTGAAAATTCTAGCTGCCTCAGCCCCTGCTAATTTTGTAACCTGTTTCCGCAACTCAAAACTTGCCATGCTCTGTTGCTCTGTTCCCCACTCTGTGTGTGCAGAAATTGCCCCCAAGTTTTGGTGCTTTGGCAGAATCACAGTTCTGTGCTGCCTGCTTTCCAGTGGCTGAATACAATTGTTTCGTATATCCTGTGAATTTGTGTTACTTGTATACAGCAGGATGCCAAAGGCGATTGGATTCTATGAAGTGATCACCTCACAGAGAAGCTGCCCATAGAGGCAGAGAGAGCCACACAGAGAGCCGCCTGCCTCGGCTGCCTGCTCTTCCGTTGATTCTGCCATGAGCCCCATATTCACCTACTTCACAATCCTTTGTCTTCTGGCTGCGGGTAAGTTCCTGTTCTGCAATCGTCAGCTCCCTGCTCTAAGCCTTTCATCCATGTCATCAAACTCCCTCATGGGCTCAGTCTCCAACTCCCGTCTGCTTTCTTTACAGGTTCCCCCGGTGAAGAAGTCACCCAGACTCCAAAACATCTTGTCAAAGGGGAAGGACAGAAAGCAAAATTATATTGTGACCCAATAAAAGGACACAGTTACGTTTTTTGGTACCAACAGGTCCTGAGAAAAGAATTCAAGTTCTTGATTTCCTTCCAGAACAAAAATGTCTTTGATGAAACAGGGATGCCCAAGGAAAGATTTTCAGCTAAGTGCCACGCAAACTCGCCCTGTAGCCTTGAGATCCAGGCTACGAAGCTGAAGGATTCAGCGGTGTATTTTTGTGCCAGCAGCCAATCCACAGTGTTAAATATTAGCTAATCTTAGGGCACAAACTCATCACAGACCCAGCTCAGGAAGCAGGTGGTGTACTAGGTTGCAAGGAAATAATAGAAACTAAGACTAGCTTAAGCCAAAGGGGAATGAATATATTATACGGCTAAATGTATGTCCCATAGAACCACAAAGCAAGAACACAGGAACTTCCCAGAAATAAACTGCAGTGAAACCTTAGAACCTGTGGCTCACGCCTGTAAACCCAGCACTTTGGGAGGCTGACGCAGGCAGACTACGAGGTCAGGAGATCAAGATCATCCTGACTAACACGGTGAAACCCCGTCTGTATTTAAAAAAATAAAAATAAAAATATTAGCCGGGCATGGTGGTGGCGGGAGCCTGTAGTCCCAGTTACTCCAGAGGCTGAGGCAGGAGAATGGCATGAACCCGGGAGGTGGAGCTTGCAGTGAACTGAGATAGCACCACTGCACTCCAGCCTGGGTGACAGAGTGAGACTCCGCCTCAGGAAAAAAAAAAGAAAGAAAGAAAGAAGGAAACTTTAGAACCATGGCATGGCCAACTGACAACTCATTTTTTATATACCTTGTCCGCCTGATTGTTCTCTTTTATTATAAGTAGTCTTTTCTGTTTCTTAGCTCTCACAGTGATTAGAAAATTGCAGATTCAGATGTTAGCCCTTCAGTCAATTGAGACTAACCTGACTTTCTCTCATGCTAGATTACAAATCTAGAGTGGGGGGAAGGGCGGTGGCGGGAAATGTGATCCTGTTTTACTCAATAATGTGCTCATGGAAATCCAAGGGAATTGAGTTATTTTGAACAAGATGGTATCTGGGAGCCTGTCCCTCTGACCTTGTGGACCAAGGATTTCAAGGGGCGGAATCCAGTCAGAACATCCAATAGGCATCCATCACAAGTGAGAAGTCAGGGATAATTAATACATTTTCTAGAATATGAAAACCTTGGGAAAAGAGAAGGTTTGGAGAGAGGATCAAAACCTTAGTATTTAGAACAATATCAGACCACATAAAAGTTCTGGTTAATCTTTCTTTAAAAAATTAAACCGGCCAGGTGTGGTGGCTCACAGCTGTAATCCCAGCACTTTGGGAGACCAAGGAGGGCAGATCACCTGAGGTTGGGAGTTCGAGATCAGCCTGACCAACATAGAGAAACCCCATCTCTACTAAAAATACAAAATTAGCCAGGTGTGGTGGCACACGCCTGTAATCCCAGCTACTCGGGAGGCTGAGGCTGGAGAATCTCTTGAACCTGGGAGGGGGAGGTTGTGGTGAGCCGAGATCACGCCACTGCACTTCAGCCTGGGCAACAAGAGTGAAACTCTGTCTCAAATACATAAATAAATAAATAAATAAAATAGAAGAAAAAAAAGTAATCCTAGATAACACAAAAAGCATGTTCATTTTAAGTGTGACAACTTCAGCTCCTACAAATTTGCTAACTGGCCTTTATGGCACTGAAGGAGAACAGATTAATGTGCTCTTGGTGTAAAACACATTAATGCACAAACAATTAAAAAATCTTTAGGTATATGATTCAAATTATAACGAGCAGCAATGTATTCAACATCAATATTCCTAATGAGGCATTATGGTATCAACATTACCTAGGCAGGAGACACACTTATGTTGAGCAGTTATAGAATTCAAAATAACTCTGCTAAACTTTGATAATCCAATCTGTTCACAGATCTGGTCACCACCTAGAATTCGCCTTGAGAGAAATTCCTTTATTCTCTCTCCAGTAACATCTGCTCTGATTTCAGTATAAGTTGAATCCAGTTGTCTTACTTCCAGAAGTACAAAGTTACTTCTTTACTTCGGAAAAAAAAAATCACTCTGACCCCTGCAAACAGAAGTTCTCACTTTATCACTTTTCTGATCTATTTAATATTATACCTTCTCATTTCAAGTTCCTTTTCCTTCTCTCCCTCAAGCCCAGTCTTGCTGTTGGTGGTCTACATCTTTGCTTTTGTCACAGAGAAGTCACTCCTCTAGATGCCATCTTCAGCTTTTTCTTGAAATATTTCCATTCTAACAAAACTGTTCTCCTAAAGATTAAAATTACATACTTACCAGACCAAAAGACACACGTGTGTTTCTTTGCCTGCTGGATCTCTTTG